ATACGTCATCTTGGTTGCCATGTCCGCCTTCCTTGTTCTCGCCGACAAAAAGCCTTTTGCCAACATCATGCCACTTTGATGCCCACTCACGCCAACTCGTTGGCAAACCCCACGAAGATAAGGAAACACACGGGGATTCGCACAGTAGATGCGGAGTCAGAGTCCTTGCCATCGTTATGTCGGTGTCCTCGGTTTTGGTGTTCTCAACTGCCGTGTTCTCCGTGAGTGCGTCCTTCGCCGTTGCGTTCGAGTCGTTGTGTTCTCAACTGTGGGGTTCTTCGTTAGTGTTTCCTTCGACTCTGCCTCCAGGCTTTTGGCGTTCTCAACTTTCGGATTCCCTATGGGTCCATGTACTCATATAGCATATACATGGGCCCTAAAGTACGTATAGAGGGGCTTCATTAGGGCCAATGTATATACTATACGAGCACATGGACCCTTAGGGATTGCCGTTCACATCACATGTGGAGTGGGAGGCGGGCGAGACTCCTGGGCTGATGTTCGCCTCCCCCCCACAGCAGTCCAACTCAAGTGGTGATGAATTACCTACAACCAAAGACAGCGCATCAGACAAGAGCGCAACCCCTGATAGCATCATGTACGAAGAGGAGGTACATGACAATGAGACAAAACCAAGAAACATGCAGTTGAAAACGCTGAAAGTGCGGCATGCCAAAACGCAGAAGTTCAGAAAGAAGCAGTGAGTTGAAACAAAAGCACACACACACACACACACACGGACAAAAAGACAGACCAAAGGACATAGAAAGATACAAAACCACTCGAAATAGGCAAAGCCACTGAACAGTGCTATGCACGAACGCAGGCCCACCAGCCTCCTCTTCTCATTCCAGAAGGGTAGAGTTTTGAAATGGCCAGGGTTGAAGGTTTCAGGGACCGAATCCTTTCGTAAGCGTCGAGTCATGGTAGAACTTCGAAACGGATCGTTCGTGTCGGGGGCATTACAGCTTATCACTCTTGTGATAAAGGCCTTAAGCCTTGAGGTTCATTTATTTCCAAACTTTACATCCCCAACCTGAAACCCTAAGCCTTGAGTTTTGGACCTTTATTTCACTTCCGAAGTCTACCACCTACCCTAAACCCTAAACCCTAAACCCTAAACCCTAAACTGTAAACTGTAAACGCGACATCCGAGGTCTGCATCGCAGAGTACAGCTCCTAGACACATCTGCTGCCGGCTGAGCACACAATGCCCTTCCCTTCGGAAAGGCTCCGAAACCCAAAGAGTTCATGGTGCTGCCTTAAAATCGAACTACCGTGACCTACTTGCTATGTAGGTTTGTTTAATACAAAGCCTAATGATCCTAATTACTACAGAATTAAGCATATGTCATAGGGACCTACAAGAACTGGGGTTGGTACTGTAGTTAGGTAGGGCAGGTAGGGTCTAGGGGGCCTTAAAACCCTAACCCTAAATCCTAAACCCTAAATCCTAAACCCTAAATAGCCAAACCTGTCCCGGCAGCAGAGGCCAATGGCCGAGGGCAACAGAGCGACCTTCTGTGACTTCACGGCCCCTAAACCCTAAACTGCTAAAGCAAGGCCTTCATTAGGCGCTTCACACCCTAAACCCTAGACCCTAAACTGTGTCTTTTGTGCTTTTCTGTTTTTTGGGGGTGGTTTGTAGCCGGTTGTACTGGGGCTTTGTAGTGTTTCATAGGGTCTTCTAGGGCTTTGGACAAGGCTCCATACGGCTTCGAAAAAGGTTTTAAAGACGTCGACTGTAAGACTTATGCAGGGGAGTGAGTTCCTCTAAACCCTAAACCCTAAACCCTAAAGTGAGTTCCTCTAATAAAGCTTTCTGGAAGGGTTTGCATAAGGGTTCCTGCATTAGGAATTAGGATAAGGGTGTCTGAGTAACAGGAACAGGTTTTGGGGGGGGGGTAATTCGCGGGCCTGAATACTTAGAAGAGGCTTTTGGGGCATGTGTTTTACTATAATTATACTGAGGAGCCGCCAAAATAGTATAGGTAACTCTTTCGGCCCCTATACAGTATGTTCTGATGAGTCGAACATCCAAAGCCCAGGGCCGAAAATCAGCGAATCTGAGCTGGGTCGTCACGAGAGGCCCCGGCAGATACCATGTTTAAACAGGATGCGTAGCACATCCAATCAGCAAGGACCTACACTTATGGGGGATTCGTCACACTTATGGGGGAGTCGTCACAGGATCACAAGGGTAGAACCATAGGATAAGATGTAAGAACTGGAAAGCCGAAAACGAGATAAAACTCTGCAGTTCGAGCCTAAGGAGTCATCAGGGGTGCATAGCTTCGGGGAGCAACGGACATGTTAGGCTCCCCGACACCACGATGAGCCCATTGGAGGTTCCAATGTGGCATACATGACCAGGATAGCGCTGGCCGAATCCCTACGAACTGATGGGTTTCCTGGGGGTTTAGGGTTTAGGGTTTAGGGTTTAGGGTTGAGGCTGACGGGGTTTTAGGGTTTAGGGTGACGTCGTACGTACTGTAATGCGGGTTTGGGACGCACCTTGACTGGGTTATGCTGCCTTCTCATGATCTGTCAAGTCTCTCAAATAAGCCATGTGCCTAAGCCATGTGCCGGTCAGAGCAGCAGCTTTGAAAGGGGTGTTGCATCATCCCCCAAAGCTTGCCTTACCTACTCGGCCATTATGAGGAATTGAGCACATGAAATAGTCCAAAACCCTGAGGAAAAAACGGACCCAATAATTAGGTACCTGGGTTTGGGTTTGAATGTTCAGAATCTAAGCTAGGGGGATAGAAGCAATGTAGGTCAGTACTTAGAACACTTTATAATCACGAGTCACTTGGACCCTGACGACATGACCTACGAGGGTTCGGGCTTTACAGCTTCGGCTGCATGCTTACGGCCAGTGTCCTGGAACTATAGGTTAACTTTTGGGGATTAATGTAGGGGCCTTAATAATTACTTTGGGGGGGTCCGTATTATAATTATAGTCCAATGGGCCCCCAAAACCCTATTCTAAGTATGAAGGCCCCTACATTACATAGGGATTATTCTGATCGCAAGAGCTTCTAAACCCTAAACCCTAAACCCTAAACCCTAAACCCGAAGCCCTAAACCCAAAGCTCTAAGCCCAAAGCCCGATAGCAGCCTTACAGGGACGTGATGCACCCCATCTCTGAACGTTAGAGCCTTAAAGGCTGCCTAAACTTTAGACCCTAAACCCTAAACCCTAAACCACCAAGTGTGGGTTATTCCGAACTTAGGGGACCCTAATCTGGCCCCCCCGAAATAGTAGGATCCTTTAGAATAAGAACTCCCCCCAAAGAAGGCAAAAGGGCACCCCCCTTCTTTTCGGAAGCTCCGAAGTATGGGGGTAAGAACTTCCAGTTTCCATCTTAGGGCTCTTGTTCGGTTGTGGGCTTGGGGCTCATAGGGTTTAAGGTTTAGGGTTTGTAGGGTTTTGGGTTTAGGGCTTATAGGGTTTAGGGTTTAGGGTTTAAGGTTTAGGGTTTATAAGGTTTTGGGTATAGGGCTTATAGGGTTTAGGGTTCAGGGTTTATAGCGTGCAGGGTTTAGGCTTTCTTTTGAAAACTCTTTTGCGGCCGAAGAGTTCCGTGTTTAGGGGTGACTAGGAATGTTCAACCCTAAACTTTCAACCGATAAACGCCGGGTTGGGTTGGGGCAATAAGCGGGCCTTAATCAACAGAATAAGATTTTGGTGCTCCTTTATAGTATATTTAAGATAAGGAAAATTAAGGAATAATCCTGATGATGGTTTAGGCTTCTACAGTGACGGCATGGATCAGGCCAGCACTCCAATGAATTGGGGCGTGCGCAGGCAAGAACCTCACAGTGTCGTCACTTGCCCGTCTGGAAAAAGTTGCCGCTGAGGGCCTGGGATCCGCTAAGCCCCAAAGCCTAGAGCCCACGCCTTAGGGTTTAGGGTTTAGGGTAGCCAACAGCGGCTGGAAGACCCGAAAAAAACTGTTGGACGGGTCCCGAACACGGACTTCGGGGTTTGGGTCTTGGGCATGGGGCTGAAGGCTGCGCGTTGGGTCAGGTTAGAGTCTAGGGATCAGGGTCTACCATTTCAGCAAACCCGAAGCTGAGGATCCATGTACCCATGTAGTATGTACTGTGGCCTTAAAGTAGTCGCTATATAGGCACTTTAATATGTGTACACCATTACTGAAACTTCAGATCGCTCTATGAGGGTTGCGGATCTTGAGTTTACGGGGTTCAGGGGTTCAGGGTATATAGTAAACCCCAAAGTTTAATTTGGGTTTAGGGTTTAGGGGTTTAGGGTTGAGGGGTTTAGGGTTCAGGGTTTATAGTAAGCCCCAAAAAGGTTGGAAACCGGATTACGGACCAACAGTGCTGGGATTCCCATACATACTCTTACCTAAACCCCCCAAAATAGGCAAAAAACATGGCCCAAAGCCTCTGAAAGGCTATTATTCTGCATACGTTGGATGTCCAGGTAAGGATTGAGGGTATCGGGTTTCCAACTAGAGGGTTCAGGGGTGACGGCAACCTCAGGTTGCCGCCCTGTTGGACCATACAGGCCTTGATATTCTGATTTAAGGCATATTCCTTAGTTAAGGGGCATTGGGTTCTCTGGGTAATTGCCAGAACAGCGATATGTCGTACAGATTCTGCCTTCATCGTCATGTTACCATAGGAAAAAACCCACAACACAAAATCAGGAGCACCCTTCCTGACACGAAACCTCGCTGACTCTCTTTTCTGTGCTCAGCCACTTTCATTGAGCCCTCGTGTTTGCGTTCTAAGAAGGGACACTTGCCAAATCCTAAAACGCCCAAGCCCCTAAATCCTACACCCTAGCCCTACACCCTGAAATCTAAACCCTATAGTTTGAGCCCTAAACTACTGTTGATGGACAAAATTCTGCATGACCCAGATATAGTATAGTACCATTAACCCCATAGTTTAGGTACATAAGGTCATGCAGGATTTTGTCCATCACCCTAAACCCTAAACCCTAAACCCTAAGCCCAGTCGCGGCCTCACTCGGCCTTCTTTGTACGCTTGACCCGACTGAAGGGGCTGATCGAGTCGTCGAAAATATAGCGGAGGATTGCCCCTGATTGGTGGTCCCAGGTTTAGGGTTTACGGTTTAGGGTTTAGGGTTTAGGGTTTAGGGGTGGTCCCAGCCCTGCCTTAAGAACCCCAAAACCCCACTTTTTTGTAGGTTCTTGTTATAAACCCTAATATGGGATTTATAGGGACCCTACAAGAAAGTAGGTTTTGTTTGGGTTCTTAAGGTAAACCCTAAACCCCTAGACCCTAAACCCTAAACCCTAAACCCTAATCTAACCGTTTTATGGGCATCTCCGTGTGTCTCTGGAGCGCTACCGGGCTTTTCTTCGTTCCGTTGGGTCGGGGTTCGATTTTCGCGCTGCCGACCCCGGCACTGCCCCAAAAGGCTCCATGTACCTGTATAGTAGATACTTAGGCCTTAAAGGGTCCCTATATAGGTACTTTAAGGCCTAAGTATGTACTATATGGGTACATGGAGCCTTAGGGTCCGCATTTATTTTGGAGATTCGGGCTTTGAAGTGGCCAAAGGTCTTTAAGTTCTTCGCTTAGGGTTTAGGGTTTAGAGTTTTTGTAGGCTTCATAGACCCTAAGGGTCCAAGTACCTAATAACCCTATACTCTTCTGAACACGAACCTACAAAATTACGATCCGTAGCCCAAGTACCTGAGTCTTGGGTCCTTTGGCCAACCCAAACCCTAAACCCTAAACTATTAGGTCCTTGACACCCTTAGGGAGAGGGTTCCTGTTTGAGGTGTCTTTTCCGGCTATGTCTCGGGCTGTTTCTTTGCTTTGCCGGGCCTAAGTAAAGGAGGAAGCACTGTTGATGGGCAACCCATGCCATACCCATCATAAGCTAAGCATATGTTGTTACATACATATATATATATATATGAACGGATGGATGGATGGATGGATGGATGGATGGATGGATGGATGGATGGATGGATGGATGGATGGATGGATGGATGGATGGATGGATGGGTGTGTGTGTGTGTATGTGTGTATGTATGTATGTATGTATGTATGTATGTATGTATGTATGTATGTATGCATGCATGCATGTATGTATGTGTGTATGTATGTAGGTCAGCCCACATTTTCATTAATATGTCTGTATATATATATATACAGATAGATAACATACATGCATGCATGCATGCGTACATGTGAGTACACATACATATGTCCTCATCGATGTCAACATGTACATAGAGGCAAAGTACGAATGACAGTGCTTGAGTCTGGGTATCAACAGTAAATCAAACAGCTCCCTGTGTCCTGAGCACTCTCTGAGTTTGAGTTTCATCAATTTCAATTCACACGGCAGGCTGGCGTGACGACGCCGACGGGACAGAAAAGGACCCAATGCCCCCAGAGGCAAGGGTCAGCATCACAAGATGTGCATCGGTCATGCAGCAGCACCACAACATAGTATACTATAGCCCCTTGTTGTGAACTTCACTTTCTCATAGTCTATTCTAGTCTGCGGTAATTAGTAGATTATGGGAAGGGAGGGCAGAGCTTACGCTTCTGCTTCTGCAGCTGCAATTACTTCACTACTTCTTTCTAAGATGCGTAGCATAAGGGTTCTCGTTTGAAGGTTGGGGGTCT